CGCTTGTAAAAGTGCAACGAAAACGTTTACTGTAACCGACTAGTTAGATATATGTGAACGTATGCGCCTATACGGTTACATTTTCAATCGCTTCTCTCAAAATTAATAATTTTCATCGTTTCGATAGCTTTATGACATAAGTTTTTGCTTTTTGTCATAGCTGTCACCTCTCACGCCTGAGTCCATGTTGAAAATGTCGTATTTTGTCAATTACACCACAAGTTCGTAGCCTAAATGGCAGCTGCATTAAAAGTTTGACGAAAGAAATAATTTGCGGACTGACGACAGCGGGTTGCTCCCCTGCCTGACATTAAACTCCTTCTTTATTGCAATCAGTTAATGATGCATTCATACTGTCGTGATACAATAGCTACACCATTATTCTATTTGCGCCCCCCTGGCGCAATTGCCATGGGCGCAATTAAAATTGAGGTACTTTTTAATAAAAGCGAAGAAGTTATCATAAAGATGTTGAAGGAAGTTTACTGTTTCAGTGAAATATAATGAAAAAAGGGTTTTTCTTTCTAAATGTCACTCTGAAAATCACACAAATATCACAAATTTTTATAGCCAACGGTTCAAACGACTGCAAAAAAGCTAAGGAAACGCCGTAACATCTTTGATGGCGTAATGAGCCTTGCTGATTGGCTTCATCGGAGGGCTTGGGCCATAAAAGGAACTATCCAGTGGGGAAAATAATGTTTTCGAACACAAAATTCAAAACATGCCATTGAAACCGTGGGAATGTTGGTGGGCGCAATTGGTTAGGAGGGCGCAATACACCCACTTTCCCCTACACATATCAACAGAGGAAGGATTGAGCATTCCGAAGACTATAAATAATATGAATTACGAGAGCAGTGTAGCAAGATATGCGGCCTCAAACCTTAGCTGGTCCGTCTTACCCCACCTTCCCCTACCCCTCTGAATGTGTGACGTCAGCGCAGATATCTAACGATTTTTAAATGTTTGACTAAAACGTTTTGTAGCACGCGGTGGTATATGCTATTTGCGCGCAACATCTGCCGCAAACGCCGCACTTCCAAAATGAAGTCGCTAGGAACAGCGGAGATCCAAAAAAGTAAACAAAAGTAAAAGTCTAATATCTTGAAAACCGGTGAATATTTTTCGGTGAAATGTGGTAGATATTCGTTTTCGCTCTTTCTGAACCGAGCGACATCACTTTCATGCCAATTCATAAACTTTTTTGAAGGTGGGAGGGTCCCTTTAATGGCATACTGAGCCACGATTGATTTCAGCGCAAAAAAAAAAGACTTTGGCGGCACAATTAAGACGGTTTTAAGATACGATTGATACGAGTATTTAATATGTCGTATCTGACCGCTAGTCAGCAGTCCATCCATGCGGTGTCCCTGTCCACCGTCCCAGCTCTACCCGTTTGCAGTGTCCCCTCCATTGGCCCACCTCTGCCCCGTAGCTCTGCGGCCTGTCTCGTCCTCCGTCCCCTCTGCGGCGGTGTCGCCATCGTCGCGTCTGGCCGTGTCACGCCATCGTCAATCACATCAGAGCGGGTCTGGTGCTGACTGCTCATCTCTCTCTAGTGGCCATCCACAACGACGGCGACAGCTTCCGGCCGACGAGACCCCCTCCCCTTCCCCCTCCACACCACGCACAGCCGGTCACACAATTAGAACTGCGCTGGACTTGTTAGCATGCGTTACTGGAGCGGGCGGGTCGGGTCGAGCGGACAAAAGCGCTCGTCTCCCCGCGGTCGGCGGCGGCCGGCCTTTTTTGTGCCGCCTCCGGGGGAGGGGTCCGCCGCGACGCTGACAGATTTATCGCATATTATTTCTTTTATTTACCGCCCTCCTTAGTTAATTTATTGGATATTTTTGTATTGCGCGTCGGCCGCGCATGGTCGGCCGGCTGGATTTATGGCCGAGAGGAGTGCGGCGCTGATGATTAGCGGAGCGGGGACGGACGGAGCTGATTCGTGCGCTCGCTGCCGCCGCTCCCGACTGGTGTGCTCTGTCGCACCGCTGTCGCTATCACCACCGCGCACGACACCGACAGACAAAGAACTGATCGGCGCCCCGGCCCTCCCTCATCGCTCCCCCGCGGAGACCGTCGTGCTGACCAGAGGCGGGGCGGGGCTGCAGGCTGGACGGGAGAGTTGTTGTCTCCAAGAGGTCTGGTGTGGTGGCTGCAGTCTTTTACAATGACTGAAGGTAACCACTACCACCTCTGGTCTCCGCTGTCTGTAAATGATTGCGAGAATGACTGCGACGATGAAGCGAGTGGAATCTTTTGCGTCTCGCGTAGCCGGCGTCTTTTTGTCCGCGCTGCTGCCATCGTAAGTATCGCTCGGGATGAGGGGAGGGAGAGTAATGGCGCACCAGATCCAGACACCGACCGGGAGACAATTCAAATCCGGCTGTTTTGACACCCACGGGAGAGTGGCGCGCTGAGCTGTGGCTCGTATCACAAAGACTCGCGTCTCCAGGCTCCCCCTACACATATCACCGCTAAAAAATTAGCGCCTCTGCATATTCAAACGCGTCGCCTCTGGAGCTCTCGTAGCGCGCTGTCGGCCGGAGCGGGGTCTGGCCCGTCCCTTCGGCCGTATTTCACCCTTCATGGGTTCGGCGCGCGGGCGGGCGGCGTCTAATGAGATTATCCGGCCGCTATGAGACGCGCCCGTCAACACGCTGCCGTCCAGCGTCGACTCCGACGCACGTCTGCGTCGACTCCGACGCACGTCTGAATATTCATACCTCCGTGCCGCGTCGCTGCCGACGGCTGCGGCGTCGCGCATTACCGCTCATAATGTGTCTAATGGAATTAGGAGGTGCCGACGGCGGCCGGCGCAGGATTGTGGGCGTCCGCTGTCACCGAGATGGCTCAGCGGAGACGCCTCCGTGCCGAGAAATTAGCCAGATATTCCGCTTATGTTGCCGCAGGCAGTTGGCGAATCATATCTGCAGTGTGCAACGTTGAAATGACCGCGGTAATGGACCAGATTGCCGGTGTGTGGTGCAATTATCTACTGGTGTTCATATCTGCCACTGCTGAGGTTTTCAGTTGCATTCTACCTCAACGCTTTATTCACAGACTGTTTCAGTTACACTCTAGCTCTATCCTCCGAAGGTTTCAGTTGCGCTCTCGCTCAGCCCCGATCAGACACGCCTACTGCGGGGACCGGACGTGTCCCCCTGTCCCCAGATGCGGTCCGGCCCGGTCCGATGGCGTCCCCGTGGTCCGGCCGTCTCTGACGCTGACAGTCGATCAATTGAAGCCTCCTCCGTCGCTGCCGACGGCCCGGCCGACTGTCCGGCAGCGTTAGGCGGCGATGAACGACCGGACTAGCGCTGTCTCGTTCGATGTCCCCTCTCCAGCTCTTTACTTCTACTAAACGTCCAACGACAAATTGAAACGCGGCCAGCGCGCCGCCGCGCCAAATTGCCGACGAAAAAGTAAATAACCGCCGTGTGGTAATGGTGCGGCGTTTTTCGGCGCGGCGGCGATTTCGACGCGATGGCGTTGTTTTGGCGGCGAATCGGGTGCGCTGCTGGGTCGTCAGAGGTGATGGGACGTTGTTTGGCGGCTCGGATGTGACCTGACTGACTGGACAGGCGGTGAGATGAAGTTGGCGCTGAGCCGCCGCCGCCCCCGCCGCCACTGCCACCGCCACTGGCGCGCGCCACCATAAATAATTGCGAACGCGGCGCGGCGGGCACGACCGCGGCGCGCGGCGCCAGCGGCGCACTGCAGACAATGCCGGCGTGCGGTAATCACACCTCGCCGCAGTAAATCACGCCGCTAAACGTGACTAATCACGCTGATTTGTGGCGCTTTGTCTGCGCGCCGTTCGATGACGCGGATGCGGCGAGGGCGGCGCGACGGATTCCGGGCGGGGCGGGGCGGGACTATGACCCCGGGATAACCAGGCGCGTCAACTTTCATCTCCATGACGAGGTAGGTAGAGGATGCCTCAACGAGCTAAGTTAGGTACAAGGGGAGGAGTGGAGGTTGCGGGGCAAATGGTAATGCGCAATCCCATGCTCCGACCTTCATCGTTTTATTCGAGATCACGCAAATGGTAACGTCTATTGCCTTTGCCTTTCTTTAGGGATGTTATAGAGCATTTGCTAAGGAACTCAATGTATTGTATTTGAAACTACCCTGCAACAGCAAGTATTTTAAGAAAAGTTCTATGAAAACCCTGTAGGTACCCGTCCACTCTAGCCACGGTTGCGACGAAACTGAAGTACCAGCTATATGAGCGCTAATGAGTTGTCGACACGCCCACATAAATAATGATCGACAATTGGTGAGGCCCTATTAGCGCGTTCGCTCGGGCGTCGGGGGCTGTACACATTTGTGAGTGACCTTCCTTCGTTTGACGAATGTCACCAATTTCTTCCATTGAAACATCGAGCGCCAGTGTCCGCTCGAAACGGTGTGTGTGTGTGGGAGGGGGTTGATCGACCCCAGACATCTGAGAAGATCTGTCGGATCACCGCCGATTCGCTCAGTTAACGCGCAGCACCAGTCGAGTTTGATTAGCCTCCCCGGCCGGACGGACGTATACTATCAGATATGTCCGTTGGTTGTCCGTCGCTAGTCGACCTGACACACCTGAAAGCAGATATTACGACAGATATGTGCGCCGGTTGCCTAGGAAGGATGATGGTCGGTTTAGTGGGCGACTTTGCCGTCCGATGCATCTCTCTGGGTTTTGTGTGATTCCCGAAGTTGACAGCTTGTGGTCAGTCTCCGGGGTGAGACTGACTGCTGCAATGTCCCGACCTCTTTCCCATTAATCTGTCGGGATGGCCGTGCTGCCATTAATCCAGAGTGACAGCGAGGGATTCCCTCGCTCCCCCAGTTCGGCGCGATGTTACTGGGGCCCGCTGAGCGGCTCCGCTGTGTGTCACCGTGTCCTTGTAGTATGTCCTGTGACCATGCCCATTGCTCGTGTTCCTAATGTGTTGCTAGGCCGGACGGTTCTCTGACGAAGGTCTGTCTCTGTGTTTCAGGGGAAGAGGAGCAGGCGCTCCTAGCTGCAGCTGCCGCCGGCGCTGGCGCTCCGGATGACGCCGCTGCCGCCGCCGCTGTCTCCGATGACGCCGCCGGAGCCGGAGATGACGCCCCGATGCCCAGTGACGAGGAGAGCGAGTGCTCCGACAAGATGCTGCTCGGCGCCGCCACCTCCGCCTCATGGTAGGTCACCAGCACGGTGCACACGGTCCGACCGCCCGGCGTCAGCACGGTGCACCCCGGCACCACGGGCGGGGAGGGGAGATGTCACGACAGCCGCGCGGATATTTCTCGTCAGCACGAAGCGTGTAAATAGATTTAGCTGTCACCGGTGAAAAGATAACGGCGACTCATATTTCATTATTCTCATTTGGTGCCGCGCTCGGTATCGCATGGGACGCGTTTTTTGTGGCATTTGGGGCCATGGCCGTATCCAGCTATCTTGACATTCGGACCACGTTGATGTATGGGACGAAATAGGCCGTATAGTCTGAGAGCGCCGTCAAAGCTCGTAATCACTTCTGGGAAGGCATAAGTGGCATGTGTCAGCGGGCATTGTTGTGGGACGGTGACGCCCGTCGTCGGACGCGGATATATTGCCGCTGCTGACCCCTGACGCCCAGCTCCCCGAGCTGGGGGCTGGACGGCTCTGTCAGCGCTGACGGGCTCTGATGACCGCTGGGTGATGAACGGTGACGTGAGACGGACGCGCCTGACGTGATGTGATGTGAGACTGACGTGGGGTGTGACGTGGTGATGTGAGACGATGGGTTTGTTGGAGACAGACGGTGACGTGGTGCCACGATCATCTGACGGTGTGACGGTCGGCCTCTGTCAGTCCTGTGACGGTTTCCCGTTTCCGCAGGGACGGCGCCGGCTCTCGGCCGAGCTCGGCTCAGTCTGCCGAGCTGGCGATGCGCTCTGCCGCCCTGGGCAGCCCTCCGGAGCCGGCCCGCTCGCCACCAGACGTCCTCGACTTCAGTGTGCGCCGTCCGGCCAGCACCAGCTCTGAGGAGGCCCCGGCGGCGGCGACGGGCGCCCGGCCGGCCGGCGACTCGCCGCTCGATCTCAGTGTGCCGCGCCGCCGGCCCGGAGGGCACAACATCGACGAGCTGATGGCGCCCAAACAGCCGCGCCTGGACACCAAGCCGCCGACGTTCCTGTCGCCCTGGGACCGCAAGTTCCCGTTCCCGTTCGCCGGTGCGGCCCTGCCGAAGTTGGATGCGTGGAACGGTAAGCCGGACCCGGAACCACCGAGCTCGCAGAAGCTGCCTCCCTACACCAAGTCTCCAACACCCAGCGAGGCGTCGCGCGCCCTCGAGCGGATGCAGGAACTCACCAAGCTCTCCGGTGAGCCAAGCGACCTGTTCCGACAGCTGGGCCAGCGACCGAACGTCTGGCAGAATCAGTGGATGAGCCGCGGCGTGGAGCAGGCCCGCGACGTGCTCAAGTGCGTCTGGTGCAAGATCTCGTTCAACACACTGGCGGAGCTGACGGCGCACATGCGGGAGGCGCGGCACACCACCATGCCGACGCCGCCCACCATCCCACCGTCTCCGTCAACGTCTTCGGCGACCTCCGAGGCGGTCAGCTCGCTCAAGGAGACGATGCCGCTACCGAGGAAGCTGGTGCGAGGCCAGGATGTCTGGCTCGGCAAGGGCGCAGAGCAGACGCGACAGATCCTCAAGTGCATGTGGTGCGGCCAGAGCTTCAAGTCGCTGGACGAGATGACGCAGCATATGCAGAAGACCCAGCACTACACCAACATCATCTCGCAGGAGCAGATCATCTCGTGGAAGTCGCCAGATACCAAGGCGCCGTCCCAGAGTCACGTCAACGCTGTCCTCACCTGTAAGGTTTGCGACCAGGCGTTCGCCAGTCTGAAAGAACTCAGCAACCACATGGTCAAGTACTCGCACTACAAGGAACATATCATGCGCTCCATCAGCGAATCGGGTGGCCGTCGAAGGCAGACTCGCGAAAAGCGCAAGAAGTCTCTGCCTGTGCGGAAACTGCTGGAGCTGGAGCGAGCGCAGGGAGAACTGAAGGCTGAACGTGCTGTCAAGGAAGGCGCCGGTAAGATCACCTGCGAGAAGTGTTCGGCTCGCATCGACACTCCGCTGTTTGTCGAGCATATCCGGACGTGCCCGGGAAAGACCACCGCTTCTAAGAGTCCCAGTGAGACGTCCAACTCGGCCAGTGACCGTAAGACGCCCGGCGATGATGAGGAGGACGTTCCTTCGGCAGCGACCGGAGCCGGCAGCGGCGCGTCTGCCGAAGCGGGCTCCGCCGACGCTTCCTCCTCCCCGTCTGCCATCAACGCGCTGGAGCGGCTTATCGAGAAGAGTCTGAACCCCCGGCAGCGCGCCAGCGCTCCCTCGGCCGCCTTCCAGGGCGCCAGCATCCTCAAACGGCTCGGTATCGACGAGAGTGTCGACTACTCTCGGCCTCTGCTGGAGGCGGGTGGACCGGCGCCGCGCGCTCGCTCCGGCAGCGAGTCAAGTGCCGCGTCCGAGGCACGCTTCGACACCGAGAGTGACGCCGAGCGGCCCGAGCCGGAGCGCGAGCGGCAGTTGTCGCTACCGCTGCCGCTGCCGCCGCTGCGGATCGAGGCGACCGAGAATGGCAGCAAGGAGCCGCCCCCGGCGGCGGCGGCGGCGCGGCCGCTCTCACACTCCTCAGCCGCCTCTCCGGTGGGAGACGTCGCCAAGAAGAGCGACGGCTCAGCTAGTCCGGCGGCAGGCAGCGAGCGCGCGCTAACACCGCGCTCGGCGGCCGGCAGCGACCGCTCCACCCCTGCCGAGGAGCCGCCGGCCGAACCGCGCCGGCCCGGCCCGGCCAACCCGCTGGCGGCGCTGCAGAAGCTCTGTGACAAGACGGATACGCCGCCGCCCCGCTCGGGCGCCGGCACCGGCGGCGCGCCGGTGCAGGGCGCGCCCGGCGCCATCCTCGCCTTCTCCTGGGCATGCAACGACGCCGTGATGACCGACTCGATCATGAAGTGTGCTTTCTGTGATACTCCTTTCATATCAAAAGGCGCGTACCGCCACCATCTGTCCAAGATGCACTTTGTCAAGGACGGCATGGTCCCCGAGCCGGCCACCTCGAAGGCGAGCGCGAGCAACAAAGCGGCTGCGCCTCGCTCACCACCCTCATCGAGCAACTCCAGTGTCGATGAGACGTCGCACTCGAAGTTTCTCAAGTACACTGAACTTGCGAAGCAGCTCTCATCCAAGTACGTCGTAGAGTAGCGTGGTGTTGTGGTGTAGCTCTCTGACGCGCGCGACTCCGCTACGTGAAGGTCGCGCGCAGTGTCTTAGATCGGCCCTCTTGTGTTGGCCGACTCGTTTTGCGCGCTGCGTCGCGCGCGCGCGCGCGCTGGCGGTAATGTGGCGCGCGATCGCTCCTCTCCCGGCCGTACGATGTTCAGTTGTTTTTCGTTTGTATTTATGTACGCATTAGCGGGAGTCGTGATCGGCGGCGGCGGCGGCGGCAGCGGTGCGTGACTGCGGGTTCCGAGACCCTGTTCGTGCCCGCCTGAATGACAGCACATCCTCTGGCTCGCCGCGGCGCCGGCAATTATCCAAACTGCGGCCGTCAGCCGCACGGCGCGGCGCGCCGCTCGTGACGCGCCAGTTTTGTCGCCGCGTCACGAGCGCGCCGCGACTGGCGCGCGGCAGCTGCACACCGAGCCAGTTTTTCGACTCTAATTTATGCCGATGCGCTGCGATGTGACCGTCGCGAGTCATACACCTTTGGCCGGCGGGTGGTCAATCCCGCGACATAGCGGTGTCGGCAGAAGTGACAGGCGCGCGGCTAAAGGTGTACCGCTGCCCGATACCAAAGGATACGTCATTAAAAACTGTCAGCCAGCGCACCGAGTGACGTTTGAAAGCTATTTGTACTAATCGTATGACATGCATGCTGTCACCGTCACTCCATTGACATCTCAAAGGCGGCTCAAAGCTGTCAAGATTAATGAAAGGCGAGGATCGATAGGGCCCGCTTCGGTCGCGGCCGTTCCTTTGTTGCAGCCCTTGCATTGTCATCGTGCAACATTGTCCAAATAATACTTACTCACGACTCGCGGTGCGCGCTGGGCACGGCGCCACGGTCGCCGGCCATGAATTCAGCGCCGCCTTTCCGGCGTGTGACAGCCGCGCCGGGGCGACACGCCCGTCACTACCGCCGAGGTCAGCCCGTGACCTCGGCGTGGCTGACCGGTCGTCTCGTGACGGGTCAGTCGGTACACCGCAGACACCCTCAACCGACGTGCCCTAGCGCCGACCGCACGTAAAAAGCGCAGCCGTCGCTTCTGATCAGCAATTATTGGCGTGTTCCTTCACCCTTCTGGGCGCGATTTTTGCTCGGCCTTTTTCGGCTCAGTAATGACCGGCAATTAGGTGCCGTCGCTGTCACGACAGGCCACTGGCTGTCACTCAGCCGCCACACTGATGGACAGTCTACCTGTTTAACAAAACCTATACATGACTGACAAAATTTCTCTATTGATTCTTTTTGGGCCGCACGGCGTTTTTGCTCGCGTCGTAATTACAGGGCTGCTTCTTGTCGGGTCGACTCACGTTGACGGTACCGGCGTGGCTCGACAGGCACGAAGCCGGCTCGGACCGACGCGTCCGTCACAACGCCTCTAACTATAGTAATTTGGACCATCAAAGCCGTTGCCAGATTTGCATGGCGTATCATCATGTCACGCGGACGCGGGCGGCGCCGGCGCCGGAAGGGTTGGCCGCGCGCCGGCCGTTCGACGCGAGCTGTCCGCCGAACCGCGCCGCGGCGCACCGCTTTTTGCTGCGATTCGGCGGCGAAAAATGGGCACGTTTCTATGGTTACCGCTGCCGTTCGCGGCGCGATCGTGCGCATTTTTCGCCGGCCACCGCCTCTCAGGGAGACGCGATCCGTCTGACGCGCTGACCGCGCTAAAAATCGCCCATTGTGGCTAACAGGTAATTGGTAATGTCGGACGGTTGCACAGCTGACTGCGCCGCCGCCGCCATCGCCGCCGCCGCGGCGCCCGCTGATGCGTTTGTGCCTATTTATTTCGCTACCTGATTTCGTATTGCGCTGGAGAGATTTGTGATTGAATACTCACCTACATATCTGCGAGGGAGCGGCGCTCCGGCCGCCCTCCCCGGCGAGTCTGCCTCTGTTCTGTCCGCGCTGGCTGGCGGCCCCACTGCCGGCGCGCCGCCGCTGTTTCGTTATTAGTTCAAGTGCCAACATTGTATGGACAAAGTACAACCCTATTCTAGCCTCCAAGGCGATTTTTACTCTTCGGATATCGTTGTTGGTGCATGTGGTCGAAGCGGGCGTGCGCCCGCCTTTCCTGTGTCTAGTGTTGTTATTGTGAACCCATTGGCTGTTCTATAGTGAGGATAGACACCACTGTCGGCGCGTGCTGGAAGGGATCCCGCTGCCGGGGCCGCCGCGGGCCCGAGACCTCCCTGGCCGACGGGGCTCTCTCCCGGGGTGGTCCCACCAACTCCGAAGCTCTCCCTGACCTACCGTCTCCTCCCTCTCTCTCCTCTCTACCCGACCTCTACCCTCCCCTCCCCACCTGAGGCCCGGCCCGGCCTGCGGGCCCGCACGGCCACACACACACACATACATACGCGCACATTCACGCATTCATACCTGCAGTGAGGCTTGGTAGGCGCTACGCCAGATGGTGTTGCGTGGTGTTCAGGTATTTATTTGTGGACCCCGTGGTCCGTCTCTTCCACTCAGAGTATTGTACATACGATACAAATAAAACTACTCGCTGGATGCTGTCTTTTCTGAGAACGAATGAATGGAGGGCGGGAAAATGAACGAACGCGGTGCACAGATGGACGATGGATAGAACGGGTGACTGAGAAAGTGAGAGGGCCGATGGAATAAGACGAATATGTCAGAACTAAAGAAAGCCGAAAGGGATCACCACCAAAGAGGCGTCTCCATTTCGTATTCGTAATGAACGATTCAGATTAAAGGGACTATCCCACCTTTAACATGGGGTTTGAGTTGAGATAGCCAAGTTTGCGGCGAGGTTCAGAAACCACTATCTATCTAGGTTGCAACCCCCGCGGCCTCTTGGTGTTGAAGAAATTCGTTCCCTTCATTTGAAAATGGGCCTTGTACAAGGCCCTATCTTCAACATGGAGCGACCGTTAGTGTGACGTCACCTCGTTTAGTCATTCTGATTTAAATGGGTTTGTTCGTTGAAAAAACGCTTAAAACTTGGTCTGAACTTTGTTGTGGTGCCTACAGAGTAAAAAGAATCAGCTTTATGACAGTAATGTGGCCTGGGGAAGGAGGTAATTTTGGGCTGTGACGTCACATATTTGAAAGTTTGTGTTTGGAATATGGGAAGCCTAAGATGTTTAATGAAAAATAGATGCCAGAACCGTGTTCCTGGTCATCCAATCTATAAAGTCGGGCACAATTTAACTGGTTTTAACAACATTTTAGAAGGTGGGATAGTCCCTTTAATGTAACATGACAATTTATAACTTATCCCGCCACCTAGAAAATCACAAAACGAGCGGCAGATTTAAGTTTCATGAAAAACGGTTTTAAAACGAGTCAAAAACTTGTGCCGGTGCAATAGCTGTAATAATATAGAAACACACATTTCGATGCACGATTAAATAACGAAACTGATACCCAAGAAGAATACGTACAATTCGGATTAATTTCCGCATATGGATGATATCTCCGTTTGCGACTGACTGACCTACCATGTGGCCCACACGGTAGCTCTCTGCACTGCACACAGTGCACACAGTGCAATGGTGCACGGAGAACGGTGCACACGTCCGGGTGATTCGTGTGAGGTCAGATGGGCGCGCCGACCCGGCTCCACGGCTGAACGACGGCGGTCTCGAGTTACGCCCGTCAACCGAGCCTTGTACTGCACTGAGTGATGGGCAGGGCACTGAGCGATGGGTGCTCATTGGGCAGTGACCAGTGAGCAGTCAGCACTGCACTGAGTGACGAGCGGGGAACTGAGCGATGGGCAGTGTAGTGCAGTAGGTATCGTATGTGCAGAGTACTTCACTGGTAAGGTTAGGATTTATCATTATTTCTGTAGCCTAGGCGTAGTAAACTCAACCACACCAAGCCACAAAATATCAGATCTCATGAACCAGCTAGTCAATGATAAGTGATCATATTACAGTTCTGCAATCCTGGAGAGGCAAACACCTTAGGGCGCTGTGCTGGCCTGGCGACGCCCAGTCGTAGCCAGTGAATATGAAAGTTGTGCCTCTGATAAGGTTTCTATCAAGGGTGGTCCTGTCATACGCCTAGAAGGCATGCCGCGGCGGACTGCACGAGTATATACGCCTGAATATAGGTATACTGTGCCGCATGGCCCACGCCTGAATGTATACAGTGCCGCATGGCATACGCCTGAATGTATACTGTGCCGCATGGCACTATACGCCCGAATCTATTATATCACTCTAATCGAATCACTATAAATTGAAATAACAAAATAAATATAAATGATACATACGTTCATCATCTGTTGATGACAAATAAAAACATTTTATGATTTTTTTTTCTACAAGCAAAAAAAAATCATAAAATCATTTGTAGTACAAGAAACATGAAAGAATAGCACAATAATTCAATACCTCACTATTCTCACTGTACACTTAAATTCCTCTTCCTTAGTGGCACCTCAAAATCCTAGTGACAGCGCTAGTCACTTGTGTTGAGGGTCCGACGGTGGGTAAATCGGGGAAGGTATCCAGAAGTCATACATACTGGCCCGTCCGGCAAGTCCTTTCAAAACAATCTCGAAAACATTTGATCCATTCATAAATGACATTAGTAATATATCAACAACGCATTCCAAATTTGACACGATCAGACTCAATTGTGATTTTCACGAACCACTCAAAATCAGAAAACTTTCCTGCTTTGAAGGTAATATATCGATTGTTCACTTGAATGCACGCTCAATGGTAAATAAGGTAGATGAAATAACTACATTTTTGGCTCAACTTCACCATAGGATATCATTTGTTTGTATATCAGAAACTTGGCTTTGTCCAGAGACCGAAAGTAGGTATTGCTTAGGCATGGATGATATAACACTGGATTGGTGTCTCGTGGAAATTAACATTGGGATCCGCGACATTGGGATCAGGCCTGCCATCTAGTGAGAGAATTATCGTAAGTTAGGAGCAAGCCGAGTGAACGCCATCTCTCAGCATTATGACACACGTGGGTGTGGTGTGTAAGTTGGCTCGAAGTGCATATTCCCACGAGTTGGAGGTAATCTAACTGGACCTGAGACGACAAAAAATGTCTTAAATGCTTGAAAGCCAAAAACGTCAAGCAGCCTTTAGGTAATAACGAAAATAAAATGCGTAAGACGGTGTGTATTGAAACGCCCAGTCCCATTGGCTTGTACGAGCTTTTATATGGCCATTTACTCACAATGATACAGCAGTTTGACAATATGTCATACATATTTCGTAGGCGTATTCCTTCTTCTCCGAATTTCGCCCGATTTTCTTCATCTTAGTTAATGTTACGGCACGTGTCACGTGCCAACTTAGGGGTGTCGAAATTGTTCCACATGAAGTAACTCCGCAATGGCTGGGCCCATTACGGTAAAATTTCGTCAATAGTTAGGCACCCAGTGGCCAATGCATTTCCATGTATCACTATGGGGGTGCTACTGCACATGCGCACGTGCGGGGTGCCGCTTCCATATCTCAAGAAGGGCTGGGCGGATAACACTCAAACTTGGTACACAAATGTCACATCGATGCTCGCACTGCATTGATCAGTGCTTACATTGGAGTCGTTAGGAAAACGATGAAATGAGATGCGTGGTGTTTATGCCTTTCTGTTCCAGTAGCTGATTGATCCGCAACAGGAGATCCTTGTTTGTGAAGGCTTCGTCTCCCTTTTCCACTCCTTGTTTAAAATAACATTAACAATGTACGAAGATCACACATCAAAGTTGTTTTAGGCGGTTATCTTGGGCCAGGACTGCGGAGTTGTAGTCAGAGCCAGCGGTTCTGTTCCGACTCGGAATCGGTTGATTTTTAAAAGCTGTAGTCGGAGTATGAGTCGAACGTCACCGAAAAGTCATCGACTCCACAGACTTACCAGGGCTGCAGAGTTGGAGTCTGTGTGAATCGACAGTTCTGCCCGAAGGAGTCGGAGTCGATATTTGGATACCGGAATCAGAGTTGGAAACAAAGTCACTGAAATTGCATCGACTACGCAGCACTGGTTGGGTCCTTTTCATAGAGCGTCTTGAATGGCATATTGAGCGGCAATGACGTTAGCAATTCCGTTTAACTTTTTCATTAGACAGATAGTACTTACGTTCGTTTTGTTCTTTGATCGGACAATTTGTTTGATTTAGGCCAAGTAAAGACTCATGTGAAAAATAGCGAAAACGACACGTGCTGGCGAAGTCTCCAATAACTCCCTGTTTCACGATTTAATGGGTAAATAACATGGAACTGCTTATCTTATTACTGACCCTGCACATAAATCTATTAATTTCTTCGCTTTTACTGACATATAAAGACATAGCCTTTTGAAAAATTGCACAACAAGCCAGCTACTACACCACACTCCCGTGTGTCACAATGCTAATCAGCGGCGTTCACTCGGCTTGCTCCTAACTTACGATAATTCTCCCGCTAGATGGCAGGCCTGAGCTCAATGTCGCCAAAAACTGCGAAGACACCAATCCATTATTATCTCATCCATGGCTTAGGTAAAGAGTATCAACCTTTTTATACAAGTAGAAAGTCAAAAACTGGTGGAGGATCAGCAGTTTTTGCATATCAGAATAACCTAACAACAGTTAAGGAAGTACACCTCTTTCAATTTACTACAGCTGAAGTAGTCACTTTACAAATAAGTAATCAGAAGCAGCCCTCATTCCTGATTTGCCAAATGTATAGAGCCCCTGAAAATGATGTACAATTTCTCAATGAACTTGAGCAATTTCTATCTATTGTAAGCTCTCTAAACCTGCTCACCTACATCACAGGTGACTTCAATGTAGATCTTTTCTCAATTCATAGTAATTCTGCCCATGAATCTTTTTTCACCTTGATGTGTAGCTATGGTTTCCTTCCAACCATCTCCAAAGCTACTCGTATCACATCAACTTCAAATACACTTATTGACAATATTTTCACAAATGATCTCTCAAAAATTGTCTCATCTGGTATTGTCCTATCTGACCTTTCAGATCACTTCCCAATATTTGTCACCACAAACATTGCTCATGAAGTCCAAAAAGTGAAAAATGAAACGAAGACATTAGACAATATTTGACTACAGGAAATTAGACACACTCAAATCACATTTGATATCCAAACTTGAAAATCTAAATTATCAAACTGATCCTGACCTTGCATGTCAACAAATAATAGAATCCTATAAGGAAGGAGTGGCATTATGTTCAAAAACAATCACATGCTCAAGGAAAAACAGTTTTGTTAAACCATGGATGACCCCAGCACTCCTCTGCTCCATCAACCACAAAAACCAACTATTTGCAAACAAACTTAAGAATCCAAACAATACAAATACAACAGCATACAATGCATATAGAAATTGTTTAAACAAGGCAATTTTAAATGCTAAGAAAGCATACTATAAATCAGAGTTCTCTAAGAATGAAAGTAATCCAAAAAGAACATGGGAAATGCTCAATGACCTCTTAAAACAAAAGAAAAAAGGCAATGTTTTGCCAAGTGAGTTGCAAAATGAATCTAGTGGTCAACAAGAGAGTAAAA